TGAGGGGGGGGGGGGGGAGAATATCTACAAAATATTCACATTCGAAAATATATTAACCCTAAAATTTTAATTAGAATAAACAATTGCTTTTATAAAGAACAATTTAAAAAATAAAAAAAAATTTTTTCTCTTTTAAAAAAGTGTTTTTTTCAATGAAAAAATATATATATTTATACAAGTAAATGTTATTAATATTCATTGAAACGTATAAATTAAAATTTATACGTTTATAAATAAACGTATAAATATAAAATTTTATACATCTATTATGTAATTTTGTGTTTTGGAATCAGAATGTCAAAAAAAGTGACAAATTCCTCTTTCCCGGCCTGGCCCCTTCGATTAGTATGATTCTGTTGATTTGAAGGTATCAGAGAGAAAATAATATGTTATTCTTCCCAAGGATGCGTTTGCATATCATTTTGTGCACTGTGAGGAACGCGCATGCATGATCCTGTCTGCGGTTTGCACGTGAGTTGTGGCAGGACGATGTTACATTAATGCGAACATTGTAAGTCATTTGACTTGCGCGAGCGTAGGTTGCGCGTTTCTTAGGATAATTATGCTGCTGTCGTTAACGAGACGTTAACGATACTGCGATAAGATCGACACGAGGACATGCGAGGCAGCACGAAGATCTCGTTTACTACAATGATTCGTTTGCCGACCTTGTTGATTCGCAGGACTTCGTCGATTGACGAAACTCGCTGTGTCTGCAAGAAATATGCAGCCCACTAATGTACTTACATATCATTGCGCGCAATTTATTAGTCCGTTCATCGGATAAAACGATCAGAACAAAGAGTAATGTATATGTTATGGTCAAAGCCCGTAGCGTGAGCGCTTCTAGGATTGACTGGTCAATGTGCGAAACAATCAAGTTTTTTTATCAAAGCCCAAAATAGTTTTGGGTTTCGATTGGTGTGTTTTTAGTCAATCCTAGAGATGACTAACAAACTAAAGCTTGATTGTTTCGCACATCGACCAATCAATCAGAAGTAATCGCGTTACAGGTTTTGATAATATATACAAAGTGTTTAAAAATAAAGTGGAACAATATTCGTGTACAGATCGCAAAACGGTTTAGACACAATAAACTTCAGAGAGCAGCTAATAGTTCAATAAGAGGACGAATTATTCAAAAATAAGTTTTCTCATTGGATCAACGGCTGCGCTCTGAAGTTCATTACGTCTAAACCGTTTTGTGTCCTACTGTGCATGTAAATTAGGTGAAATTAAATACAAAAGTCCTATATCATTTTACAAACGATCGTGTAAAATTTTCGGTGATTAATTAAAGAAGGTTAGCGAATGATCGTACGCGATACGATAAATGAGCTCTATGATGACGACGCTTGTCGTTATGTGTGCTTTACAGATTATCTACAGATAATTGTGCGTATATATATATATATATATATATATATATATATATATATATATATATATATT